TTATATGTTTATTGTTCTTATATCACTGACTGAATTAAGTGGGTATGAGTATTGTATATACAAAATTCAAATTTAACCAATTTGCAGCAATTTTAATGCAGCTTCGATCAATAAAAAGAACGTAAAATGAAGTAGCAGAACTCACTTCATTAACATAAAAAGCTTAAGTTGTAGTTTCATATTGTGTGAAAGCACTTAAAGAGTAGTCAAGAAGGCGTTTGTGCAGCTTTACTACCAGAAATGTTCATGGGTGTGCAACTAAAATAACAACTCCCAAGTACGACTTTTGTTATTTAACATCAATATTTGATAATTTGCATGTCTGAAGTTGGAAAATTCCGTTGCTTGCTTTAAACAAAATTAGGGTTCACGGCTTTAAGGGTTCAAAATTTTTTAAATAAATACTTGAATGAAAAATATATATCTAAAAAATATTCATTCAAAAGGTACAAAATAGATTAATAGTCTGTAAATGATTTTAAACTCTTTTTAGAACTATAAGTACTTTGAAAACACATATCGAGGTTTGATATCATTCTAAACAATAAAACATAAGCTAGAATGAATGTTATTATTTCTTAAAACTGAAAGATAGTATATATTTAATGGTTTTGATTTTCCATCATTGTTCTTTCCTTAGACGTTTCCAATATCAGTTTAGTACCATGAAACCCTAAAAATATAATTCCCAACCACATTGCTGTTGCTCACTTCAGCAACTTCCACTGCAACTACAACTTCAACTTCAACACCAACACCAACACAATCACAACTCATTATTGTTATTAACATAATTTGTTGGTGAATTTTATGTGGCTGCTAAATTTCTTTAAATATTTTAATGATAATGTATTCCAATTTCATGATTATCATCTTCATCAGAACAGCAATTTTAATAACAAATTCAAGTTTAATGAGTACATCCAAAAGATGGGGTAGGAATGGAGGGAATACACGAAGACTTCACAATTCTTAATCTATTTTTAACAAATTTTTATATAAAATATATTCAAAATAAATTTTGAATGTAGTAAGGAAGAATATGTGCAGTTACTTTAAATTTAAAGATTAAATATATTGAATTAAAATTTAGATAAATTTTTTTCTTTAAGGAAAATTTCATCAAATTCTATGTATATATACTATTTGCAAAACCTTTTAAATAATTTTAAATAATTTAATATTCCTTTCTATTTTTCATAAAAAAATACTAGTTTTGTACTTATCCCTTCGCACAACTACAATTTAATCTGGAAGTAATCCAACGATTTCCATTCGTAAGACTGCACTTCATCGCAAATGCGACCTGCGAACAATTAAAAACAAAACTTCTTGGATTGCAAAGAAATATGCAATTTAAATATACCAATGTATTGAGTTGCTCAAGAAAGAAATTTTCATGCGTGGATGACGATTCCATAACCTTACATTGTTCAGATTTTTCTCTACGCAGGTCCAGAAAGGGCATAGGTGGTACGGAAGACGTCATATTAATGACTACTGACTACTACTACTAATGATCCAATTGGAATACCGTTAAAGTGTTTTGTAAGTGGTTAGTGCCTATCATGCAGTGAGTTTTGATCATGAATGAACAAAAGATGTGGTGAACTAGATTTTTACCAGACATAGATGTTGAGCGGACTTAGTTGCTTTAAGCAGTATTTATATCGGTTTCATTTTGAAGAGGACTCGTTCTTTCCAGAATGTCCCAACTAAATTGAAACTGTCCTTAGTTTTAAAATTCGAGAGGAGCCATCCACGAAGTTTTTGAAGAACTTTCTACAATATAAATACTCATCCCTAACATGTGCCAGTCACATGAAAAATAGCAGACAGTTTTGTCGTCAGTACCAAAAATTATGACTAAGCTTCGACGATCAGAACATAATGAAAGGTAAAGTAGCAGTATGTGTCGAGAGGCGGCAAAGTGGTTTTTTTGCATAATGGTATTCCTATTCATCATGATGGTCTTCTTGGCATAATACCTGACCGTCGTTGCCATTAGTCGGTATCAAAACGGATTTTTTGAGTGTTAAAGTTACACACTGAGTTAGACTTTACTCCTCGATTACAAATAGAAAATATTCAAGCAGCGTTCGACTCATTTTGAATATTTGCAGTTCAATTGGGGTAATAAGTATTTTACTGGCATATTATACACATTTGTATAAGAAATTATTTCA